TTGTTACTACTAGTAAGGCACTTGTTTCTAGTAGCGATGCACTTGTTTCTACTAGCGAACATTGTTCAGTGTCCAAACCTGGTGTGGTTTTGTGGGTCCGTTTTTCTGGGAGATTTTGCGAGGCTCCCAAACCATCACCCAAAGCAAGGGGGACAGGACGGATTCAACAGATTGAGACTTTCAAGCAAACAGTGCAAACCATTCAACAATAACCAGTACATAATATATATAGTCATATATATATATAGTCTAGTATTATTGAGGACTTGGGTGCAAAATGGGTTGCTATCATTGAGTTACTCCAGGAAGGACACTCGCCTAGAATGGTTTGAGGCTGGCCAAGAAAGCCCAGCAGCTGGGTGGAGGTAGGGGATTGAATTGTCTTGTCAACATCCTCGAGGATGAAACACACTTTGAAGACAACTTGAAAAAACGTGCTGGACAACACTCTAAAGGGTTAGTTTCTAGCTTCTTTGTGGCAACATACTCGCCTTTAAGGCCTGACCATTCCACCCTTTGGTCAGGGAGACAGAAGGTGTTACATTTGAGATCATCTATTGTCACCTGCGCAAGTGCCACACTGTCAGTAGCTCACACTCTGACATTGGTTTGCAGTTAACTCAATTCCCAGGAAAAATGGCGATGGAACCGAAAGGTGAAAGAGTCGGAGCACTTGAAGGTGTTTTAACAAAGGGGTTGTTCACTTGACTGCGGAAGCTAGTTACTGCATTAGCCCTTTACTGCAAGAACGGTAAGGTGCAAGGGTCCGAAGAACAGAACTGTTTAACACACGCACTAGCACTTTACCAAAGCTAAGGAAACCTGTTTTGGGGGATATCATGCGAACAACCACCATGGAAACAACAAAAGGAAAAGTGGAGTCACAGCGTGTGCAAAAGTTTTCATCCGCGCAGGTACAGAAGTTTGCGTCCAAACTTCCATCCAGTCGATTTCCCTAGCTTCGTTGGCGTGACTAGGAAATCGACCGTCACGCCCCCTGCGACTTAACAGTTGAGAAGAACAGAAACTCTTAGATACAGAGGTGGACGCACACAGAACGCCGATATCGGCGCTCTGGGGGAACTTACTAATCACCTAAAAGCCTTAGAACGAAAGGAAAGAAAGACAGAAAGGAAAACGCAAAGGAAAGAGAGAAAGATAGGTGTAGTGACAAGGCCCACTAGTTACGAAACCTGCTAGTTACTGACTACTTAGCCGAATGAATTAAATGCAGTAGTTAGCGAGCGGGACATACGTCTTAAACCGCCCGGGTAGCTAGGAGTAGAAAAGGAGAAACAGAAGGAAAGGTACCGACACACAAGTGTGTCGAGTACCATTTCCTTCTGTTACCCTAGATAGCGGGCGGGATAGAAACACGAATTAGGTTGCAAGGTGGGGGGGGTGGAAGTGCAAGTGTGGACAGTAGCTTCACTGGTCTCAATTCCTCACATGGAAATGCAGCACATGTAAATGCAAGTGGAGGAATCTCGTAAGCCCGACGGCATCAAATTCAGTAAACCCAGTAGTGAAACTAAAGCGATTAAGAAAATCCAAAGAGAGGTGTGGAGTCAGTTACACGATTTCCGGAATGAAAGCAGCGCCTCCTTGCGGAGGATCACACCCAGCACCCAAGTGGGACGACTGAGCGAGTCACACTCTGACATTGGTTTGCAGTTAACTCAATTCCCAGGAAAAATGGCGATGGAACCGAAAGGTGAAAGAGTCGGAGCACTTGAAGGTGTTTTAACAAAGGGGTTGTTCACTTGACTGCGGAAGCTAGTTACTGCATTAGCCCTTTACTGCAAGAACGGTAAGGTGCAAGGGTCCGAAGAACAGAACTGTTTAACAAACGCACTAGCACTTTACCAAAGCTAAGGAAACCTGTTTTGGGGGATATCATGCGAACAACCACCATGGAAACAACAAAAGGAAAAGTGGAGTCACAGCGTGTGCAAAAGTTTTCATCCGCGCAGGTACAGAAGTTTGCGTCCAAACTTCCATCCAGTCGATTTCCCTAGTTTCGTTGGCGTGACTAGGAAATCGACCGTCACGCCCCCTGCGACTTAACAGTTGAGAAGAACAGAAACTCTTAGTTACAGAGGTGGACACACACACGCAAATTCCCACAAGCCTTTTGGCAGCTTAAGATGAAGTTCATGTTTTGAGCTTGTTGAATAGGACCATATGGTCCTCAAGTCAGTGCATGTTTGAGAGACCAGAGAGGTTACAGCGTGAGAGTCATGAGAGCACACGAACCTGTCACCCAAGTTTCCTCTTGCAGGTTGAAGGTGAGACAATGGAAGAGTTGCAGCGGGAACTTGAGGCCTTTAGACAACAGACAGTTATATATATGCGTACATGCTTGATTGTGCCTTCATTTGCTCGCAAATGAAGATCTTTGAGGAGATGTTCTTAGAGGTTGAAGTCTTGGATGATCGAACATGACAAGCTTAATTTGCCTTTCAGGTGACCTCACAAACCAAGCCCTGTGTCTCTGTGGAGACACAGACGGAAGAGATCACAGATGATCCAGACAGCTGCCTGGACTGGGTTTTTCTTTCATGGCATTTTAATGTAAAATATTGTATCATATCCAACCTTGATGATTGCAGTTTGTTCAGAACACATCCCGAATGTCCGTTGTGCAGACTGAAAGTTTTGCTGACATACCTAGACACATGCGTGTCTAGGCAGGTTGTAACCAAGTGACATTTATATAGTTACAGTAATTGTAACAGTACTTGCAATAATATCCAAATGATTATGGAGCTTTGGTGTTCTCATGTCTCATGTGCTCTTTCTTTTGCAGCCATTTTGGTTTGCCTTTGCATGCACATGAAACCGGGCAAACTATCATTGATCACAAGACGGGTGCCTTTGCCAGCACTACAAATCACTGCACTGTACTATACCATTTTGCTATGCCTACACGCAGTACCTCCAACAGTCTAGCAGATTCAGCCGTCCTGGACCAATACTGAAGTGGCGTCCAGTGACACAAGCGTCACTACCTCCTTGCCATCAATCGAACTTGACATCCATCATATGGCAAAGTTCATTTTGTAGCCACTGCAGCCAAGTGCCACATTGGCAGCTCGCATGAAAGAACGTTCCAGGATTTGCATCTCTGCTTGGCGATGGCGATGGCACTGGCACGCGGCCCTCAGGGCCCTCGGGGTCCACTGCATTTGCCGTCACATCCAGTTCTGGCTCGGACTCCATGTCGGCGAACTGGAGCTGCAGGGCGTCCAAGCCAAATTGGCTGAGGGTCGAATTATTGGCATGGCTCACCTAAAGTCATCCGCTTCAAAGATGTCAATCAACGTTGGCATTCTTTGAGCAAAAGCCCGCTTCTCTAGCAGGATGTATTTGCCTAACGGCACACCATCGTCAAGTTCCAAATGGTCAATGGCTTCTAGGATGTGTTGTGTTTTCTTTAGATATTGTTTTTGATTGCAGTGACTCGACTGGCCTCGATCTGACGCACCGAACATCTGCACCCCACAGCCCTTCGAGTCATTGGCCCGAGCGCGAGGAACGAAAGCAAAGCGCCGCAGGTTGGATTTTTTTGTAAAAACATGTTTCAACCTTACCGCGAACCCCCCTGGCAGACCTTGAGCCGAGGCTCCACTGTTTCGCAACAGCTGCCGTCGCCGTGGCGGTTCAGCACAGCCGGCGTGACCGCAAGTACCGTCGCATCGCTGTGCGTGCCGAGTCCTCGCGGACAGTGGAGAAGGTGCCAAATGAATTTGGGAACAGCTGATTATGATATATACATTTGACACTTTTACTAAATATATGTCGATATTCATGATTAATATGATCATCCCTCTCCTGTTTACTGTTGTTCTCCTGAAAGACTCTTTTGTGGTCTTTCACTTGGAGGAATATATAGTGCAAAAGGAACACCTGCAGGTCGCTGGGACTATTGTCCTTTTGATGCAAATTATCTTGTGCTTGACAGTCATCAAGATCCACACGTGAGATTGTACTGTAGCACTCCTTGTATATAAGTGGAATGCTGTTTGATGAAGATTCTTCCTGGTGGTATGTATGTACATACAAATATGTGTATATATATATATACAATAATGGACAAGGTTTGTCCATCCCTAGACTAACGCAGTCCTCCACAAAAGTCGAACATTGGCTCAGGATGTTATCCTAAGCCTCAAGACAGGAAGCAGTTGCTCCACTTGCATATTGGTCATGTGCCATGTACCTCCAGACCAAACCGAAGCGTGCCCCATGTTTGCTTGGATCACAAAGAACTCGACCAAAGGTCAGCAGAGTGCGGTGAGTTTGTTTGTGAGCTCTTCTCAGTGCTGATCCGAATGGAGGAGACTCCCTGGTTGGAAATCGCCGGTGCTGTGGCAGTGGCTTTGTTGGACATTTTCAAGGGGCCTCCTGAGGAATCCACAGATGCCACCGCTCCGGGCCTCAAGGAGTGCGTAGAAACTAAGATGGGCACGGTGGTTGGGACGTGATGAATACCAGAATAGCACAACTGAAACGCGCAACTTGAAACACATATTCAGGGATTCAGCGGATTGAATTGGCAGCTAGGCACGCTTTGACCCCGACCAAGAAACTAATTAAGAATTCTCACTTTTCTGATGTGCTGCGGAAGTCCACTACATACCCCCCTATGTGTCACACCAATGATTTGTTGAGGAGATTGGCAAGCCAGTAGCAGAAGCTTTGGCGAGCTGCTCCTTGCAGGCTTGGCAGCGTGCTGTTGTGATGTGGAAATACAACTGTTCCGGCTGAAATGCCTATAGCCTATAACCATCAGAGATTCTTGCTCGTGAAGTGTAGATAGATTCCAAGTTCTCGACGATTTTGTCATATCAAGCGATGCCATCCATTTGACCATGTTGCCGTATGCATGAACCCTAAAAATCTAGGAACCCTGAGCTATCCTGCGTCCATATGTAGTATATAACTAGGTACAAGTTGTCCCCTGCTCAATTAAGTAGGCGCCTGCTTAATTAAGTAAGGGGGGGCTAAAAAAGGGAATGGAACCCGAGCAATGACAGCGATGTCATCCACTCCTCCATGTCGATGCCTGCAAGGATATTCGCAGTGGGGAGACTGTGGAGCCTTGGCTTTGAATTGGAATCTGAAAAATAGGATGTTTGAATTTTCTTTTCCATGAATGCATGGCGGTCTCTTCCTGGAAAGCTATGCTGGAACGTGAATGCGTACAAATTTCACTTCCTTTGTTAAGTTCTACACATGTTGGCTGATTTCATATACACAGCGGTGTATACATGGGTTTCTGCCCCCAGGAAGCATCGAAGCTGCTAACGACGCGCTCCGGCATTTTTTTCCTCACTCACTGGGGAGATTTCAACTCCTGGGAAGTTGCGCAGCAAGTCCGCACGGCGATCCAGGTCAGCAGTTTCTACTGTATATGCAAGTGGACATGACAAACTCCGGAATTCTGTGCAATGATAACATTATCCAATCATGTCCACAGTGCTGTTTCCAGGCAAAGCGGCTTGATGCGTCTTCTATTTGCTTGGTTGGTATTGGCTCCCAAAGCTCTGGTGCCAAATTTGCCGAGATGTTGGAGCTGCCTGCTGATGTCAAAATCTACACTGATGCAAGGCTGGATCAGCTTGGCCGCTGTGCGCATCTGTCTCTTCAAGGCTAAGCAGCCATGAGCAGAAGTAATATCACATAGGTTCATGTGGTGCAGCATTTGTTAGTGTCTGCATTGACCACAACCCGTGAGGGCTAGCTGCTATTCGGCGCTTTGCTTCAGCCGTGGCGCTTTGCCACAGTACTCAGAGCAACTGAATCCATATCTTCGCACACTGGCAGCAAATTGCAGGAAGAATTGCACTTTAAAGCATTGGTCATTTTTGATAACAGCGCCAGCCAGAACAACACAACAATACTTTGAGAGTTTGCTTCGTGTGCGTCGGTCAGGGTGTGGTGCCACGAGAGTCTGTGAGTGAGCTCCGGCTAGTGCTCGTCTGAGGAGTTTTCCTTATGCTTTTGGGAGTTGGGCAGCTTGGTGCAAATATTTAATATCAGACCACACACACACAGCTTGATGTTTGGATCGAAGCCAGATGCAAGTGATAGTTCCGATAACAGACATCAGATTTCCGGCAATGCTGTGTAAAACACTTCCAACATTTGCTTTTCCCTTGTCCACCCAAGATTGTATTGAGCTTCTTCCAGGTCCCCAGGAACCATTCGCACAGTGTTGGGTGGCTACATTGGGTCACTTGGAACAACGCATGGGGCGTGACATGGAAAGTCTTGCCTTAAGCAAGCCGACGGCTTTGTTCAGTTGCTGGAAGAAGCTCCTCCCATGCCGCTGCCTTAACATAATTACAAGCTCCTTTTTTACCGCAGGGTTTTGTTGGAGGCATTATTGCTCAAGGGCTTCTTGTCAAGAGAGTAAAGTGGCATAAGTGGTAAGAAAATGTAAGATGCACAAACTAGTCAAGTCAAAGACTAAGACCTATGGCGAGAAAACGGTTGCATGACGGCATGGGTGTGAACAGCTCCCAGCTTTCTAAGGGATCGCTCCCGACCGAATAGCGCTACTGCTTGGATCGATGACGCGTTGCGGCAGGGTGCCAAGAAGGGACGGTGGCCCACGGCAGTTCCTGACCTCTTAGGTGTTTCTTGGCGATTTGCAAGTCTGTCACAAGCTTTTTTCCCCACATCTTAGTGTGGGGTTCTTCTTTTCTATGTCTCATCCGCCTCCCGCCGCCTCCCTCCACACCGAGACAACAACACACACAGAGACAACACACACACACAGAGACAACACAGGACAACACACATCACACACACAGAGATCACACACACCGAGACAACACACACACACAGAGACGACACACACCGAGACGACACAGACAGAGATCACACACACAGAGATCACACACACCGAGACAAGAGATCATGTGCAGATTGCGTGGCAGGCGCAGCACTTTGTGACAACACACACCGAGACGTCTCCAGAATTCGTGGCAGGCGCAGCACTTTGTGAACCTCCATGCTCCGTTAGAGGCTGTGGGTGTTGCGTTGTCGGCGGTGGTCGCCGGTCCGTCCCTCCATTGTGATTAGATTAGAGTATTCACTTGTTTGTTGACGTGCAGAATTCGTGGCAGGCGCAGCACTTTGTGAACCTCCACGTGCAGAATTCGTGGCAGGCGCAGCACTTTGTGAACCTCCACGTGCAGAATTTGTGGCAGGCGCAGCACTTTGTGACAACACGCACCGAGACGTCACCAGAATTCGTGGCAGGCGCAGCACTTTGTGAACCTCCATGCTCCGGCGGTGGTCGCCGGTCCGTCCCTCCATTGTGATTAGAGTATTCAC